GAGAGAGAGAGAGAGAGAGAGAGAGAGAGAGAGAGAGAGAGAGAGAGAGAGAGAGAGAGAGAGAGAGAGAGGAACAAACACAAAGAGTGACTTTTGGCGGGTACAAGACAAAGGGAGAGGAACAAACACAAAGAGTGAGTTTTGGTGTGTACATGACGAAGGGTGACTTTTGGTGTGTACATCTGGCCCTTTGCGTTCGCTGGTGTGCGGCCTTTAACAATGAGCATACTTCCATTCCTTGCCAATCAATCACTCTATCAGTCAATCAATCAATCAATCAATCAATCAATCAATCAGTCAATCGATTAATCAATCAATCAATCAATCAATCAATCAGCCAGTCAGACAGTACGTCAGTCAATCAATCAATCAATCCATCCGTCAGTCAGTCAATCAATCAATCAATCAATCAATCAATCAATCAATCAGTCAGTCAATCAATCAATCAATCAATCAATCAGACGGACAAGGAAAGTAATCTCTGTCGACCAGCCAGACTAACTATCTGTCGATCAGAGGATGCTAGCAAGAGAGGGGAAGAGGGAGAAGGAGGGAAAAGGGAAGACGGGGGAAAGAATGAGTGGAGGGGAGGGTGTGTGAGTGTGTGTATGCAACTCTCTTCAAAGCCTTAGGATCGTTCTCAGAATATCGCTGAGATTGTTAATTATTTGTTCCTCCTGCTGCAACTGCCAGTTGAGAAGGGGAAGCTCGTCCGCACAGTGCTTATGATACGCCATAGCTCGAGCTAGGTTGCCGAGAGTGGAGCTGGTCGCCAGCCGCCGATAGGTGCTGGGAGGGAGAGGGGGTTCATTGCCCATAGGCTTCTTCCCTCTGCGCAGGCCTCCCCCTTCTATGCCCCCTCCACTGCTATAAAGCTGCTGAAGCGCATCTAATGCTATGCGCCCGCTGTGCTCGGGCGTCTTGATAGCGTTTCCCGCCAACGCGCCGAACGCGCGCGGGTTGTTGCCGGGGGACAGCAGCGCGATGGGCGAGACGTCAGTCGCTCGCAGGAAAGGGATCGGGATAGTATTACCAGCGGCGTAGACGGAGATCATCTTGTCTTGCAGTCCCGATATCGAAGTCTGCGCAGCCCGCAAGGTGCCGCCGGCGAGGCCATTGCTGCCGCCGCCGCCGCCGCCACTGGAACCTGTCCCGAAACCGTGCTGACCGCCCCCGGCCACACCCGACG